CCGCTGGGGTCACGCGGGGCGCTCGCCCCATGCCAGCGCCCTGCCTGCCGGAGGGTGGCAGCGGCGCCGCCCCGACCGCGCCCCCGCTCCCACCCTCTCGCGCAGCCCCCCGCCCCCTGCTCCCCCTGCGGACCTGCATATATGTAGTAATCCGGCCGCACGTCGTGGCTGTGTGAGGGCACCAGCTGCTCCGGCACGCTCAGCACCACCGACACGTCCAGGTGCTGCCCGTCGCGCCACACGCGCGCCTGAAACATCGCAACGGGGACGCGCGACGTGGCGCGTGGGATACCGTCAGCCGGGCACGCGCTGTGTCAGGTGCCGCCTCCTCGCATCCACAAGAAACAGAGGAGCGCTGCATGAGGCGCGCCAGGCTCCCCACGGGCCGCGGTATGGGCGGGCCCTTGCCCTTGACGAAGCCCCTTGGCCCCAAAGACCTGGAGTGGCCGCGCCAGAGCCGCACCGTCATTGCGTCGCCCTCAAAAGCGCAGGACGCGATGTGGCGGAAGTCGATGCGCACGGCCTCGCGGAAGAGGAAGGTGCCGTCGTCGGCGATGGACACGCCGTCCAGGTGGGTCAGCACGTCGCCGCGGCGGAGGACCTGCGTGTTTGCGTGTACATGGATGTGGGTTCAGCTGTGTGTGAGAGAGTGGGCGCAAGTATGCATGCATGCATGCATGCATGCATGCGCTCGTGCATATGTGTGCGTTTGTGTGTGCGTTTGTGTGTGTGCGTGTGTGTGTGTGTGCGTGTGTGTGTGTGTGTGTGTGTGTGTGTGCACACGCGCGCGCATGTGCGATATTGCAAGAAAGAGAGGGAGAGAGACAGAGCGACAGAGAGAGTGCGTGCGTGCAAGTATGTGTGCACTGGGGTGACAGGGTGGGAGTGTGTCGCTGTGATATACGAACAAGGGCCCTGGTGTGAGCCAGCCAGCAGCGGAAGCAGCAGCGTGCGCGAGCCCTCGGACCAACATCTGCGCACTAGCACCGACAGCCGCACCGCTCGCAAAGGCCAGACCCACGCTACGGCCCCTCGGCATGTCCCTTATTCATGCAAATTCAAACGGGCCTCGCCTTGCTGGCGTGCGTGAGGGGCTCTGTCTTGGTGACGAGGACGCCGGTGAGGCCCTTGGGCATGCCCAGCGCGGCCTTCATGCCGGCGTTCTCCAGGTTCTGCCACGCCACACCCAGCTCGCAGAAGCCTAGGGGTTTCGATTCAGCAAGCGGGGAATGGTGGTGGTGAGTGCGTACGAGGTTTTGCTATGGCAGGGGTTGAGGGAGGTGACAACAACCACTTCAGGGAACGAAGGGTGGCGGCATGCATTCAGGCGGCCCTGACTCGCCCGGCGGCGGCTTGGTTGTCAGCGGCCCACGATCTTTCCACAGGCGCCCGTCTGCCCCAGATTATCGGGTGTGCTTGGCCCGGCTGCCCACCGGTGTAGCGGCCGTGGCGCTCCAGGTCCCGCAGGAAGTGGTTGATGACCGGGACCTGGGGGGCGGCGTGCGGTGGGTGGGGT